AGGGCGGGGGCGAATAATCCCGTAGTGGTTTGAATTCGGAGATCACTAAGTACAGAAATAGTTGATACAACTGGTTGGTTTGGTAAACCAATAATAGTATATGAATATCAAGCTGATCACACAAGAATAGTCTAAGAACGCGACTTCGACTTATTTGTTTCGATAATGGATAAGAGTAATTATTGTATTGAAAAAATTACCCGCTGAGTACTACAAGGGAAACACGACGGGCAAAGCTATGAGTGTTTCACAAATCCTATAATTCTCCCACGGATGTACTGATTAGAGATTTGACCAATGACTTCAACCCAACGTGAATCCCAGCAAGTTTGGTCAGTTTTATTCAATACTACCCACTATGATAGAGCACAGTTTATGCCACCGGAAATCACCCATAAAACAACTCCTGACATTACATGGAAGTCTATTTATTAAAGCAAACATTACAAACATCATTGTTCGAAGTCACCAATTGTTCTAAACTTTAATACTGAATAAACAAACACAGCGTTGCTAATAAGACAGTCGAACCCCAATTTTTCCTTCAGCTAAATTCTCTGCTAGTTGGCCGGAGGTCTCCTAAATCCGTATCACTATTGGCCAGTAGTATAGTCAGGATGAAAACTGACCACAATAGTAAACGCACCCACGACATCTCCAATTTCTCCATGAGGAATCCTATAAGGTAGGATAATTGTTGGGTATATCCTCTCGCCTGAATCGGAGATGTGCCTGTTTGAACTTGGATCAGTGAAAAGGGAGAATAACCTGTCCAGAAAGGGAAACACCGCAGAAATCCTATAGCTTTTAGTCTGGGAAGGTGTAGCTCAAGAATGCGACCACCACCAGACTACGTGACGCGAACGTGGACACTGCTTCCAGTCATCCACCGTTAAGGAACTACTCGATGGGACACACGAACACAATCCGATCATTGTGTAACGGTGCAGTCCTTTATTTTTCCTTTGGATTCTTTGCAAGAAGTGTTAACTTCAAACGATAGAGCTGGGTTCCCTATCTGGAAAAGGGTGTGCTCAAGACTTGTCCGATTGGTATGGTTCATGACCTACAACAATGGAGGAGCAGTGGTGGCACAGTACTTCTCAACTACTCGACATAAATTAGCTTGGCTTTAGGGGATAAATTGCAAAATCCCAACTGATAATGGTATTAATATACATCTGAGGTCTTGCCGCCAGTGGTCCTTACTTAGAACCAGGTTGAGTTCGGTAAGGAGGAACTTCACGACTGAAAATAGTCAACCAAAAACGGCTTCCAGGCAGGTTCTCGTCTGCAGGAATTCTGATATCTACGAATGAATCAGGAGGGCTATGGTAAGTATTGTGAGTGTTGTAGGTAGAGAAGTGCATAGAATGTTCACATTTAGTTACAATATCAGTGGCTCTCCTAAGTACCCAATGAATTACAGCACACAGTTTAGCGAACGATAATGATCCCGACGTTTTGTCTGATTTTTAGTTAACCCTGGTGTGTGTGTCCTTAACATATCCGCAACTATTTCCTGTTCATGCATCATTCGACTGCACAATCGGGAAATCTGCAGGAGACGAATCGAAACCGCCCTATCATCTCATTAACATCTGTCGGTGCCAAAGCCAATCATGAGCAATAGAAAGAAGTAATTCGGTACACAAAGGCCCACTCATGTTTCAATTATTACGACGTTCGAGATGGTGCGCTACATTTTCCTGATGGAATTCGGAGACTGTGTCTATCTGATAAGCCCCAAGAATGGAAGACTAGTAGTGGGCTATCGACCGGTTTTCAGAAACACGAAGAGCAGTATCCTCCACTAACGTTGCTGTTTCATCATATGCAACTATGGGTGAAGCTTTCGCCAAAACATTCCGAATCGTGAACACAAGAGAAAACAAACTTCCGGGAGGCATTTTTGGGACATTTCCTTATCATAGCCTATATCCGGAGGCTACGGCATCGTGCGCAGTCATAAAACATCCGCGCCTGGGACAGTCAGTCCGTACCTGAAAGTTTGTTGGTTATCCGGCAAGTTCATGCATGTGTTGGATTAAACTGTGATTTGATAGGGAATCGAATACAACTCCGCAAAGCTAAGACGGAGGAACTTTGGAATTCTCTTTCCGATGGTACAGGATCGTAGCCTGGGGATTAGTAAGCAGCTGTATATTTGTAGCCTATGTTTCAGAATTCTACCAATGATGAACCCGTTTGTGAACACTAAGAACAAACAAGCAGTAAGCTGCTTGTTAGAAACTCACGCGGCTGATATTCGTTTCGTCGTTAACTGAGGCTGTTTGCAAACGTGTAAGCTCCAACTCCGCGTCCTGTTTCTCTTTTATGGCCCTCTGAACGCAATTTCGCATGTCGGCTAGACGAGCCAAGAGGTGCTGATTTTCCGACCGTAGGGCTAGCAATTTTTCATCCACTTCCCCATTGATGTTAGGAGACTGTAACAACGGTCGCACTTGTTTTGTGGGCACGCGAATCACAGTATCTGGAGTACTGACTGGTGGCTTCACCTAGAAGTTCGAAACACGGGTATTATAGCGGTCGGATGCGAATCTCTGTGAGCCAGAAATAGCGTGAAAATAAGGCTCTGTGAACAAAACAGGGAAGCTCTATGGGAATGTGGAACAACTAGGCAAATTTTGGAATTCGAGAAGGCTGTTGTTCTGTTGTCATCATGGACGGCAACGCAATGGTTGTAGACACCGGTACTCAAACGATAAATGATCATTACACGAAGGAAAAAGGAGGAATGGGAGCTTACTGGGAAAGTCCGACATCAAAGGGGTGAAATGTTCAGTGAAGTTGAAGAAATGTAAAACGACTTTGTGGCAAAAAACTAATAGCGCCTTTACCTGGTAAAGATTATTTGCATATCTAGCGGTTTTGACGCACTGAATAGTGAAGCACGGACTCGTAATAACCTCCTACCTCTTCATCATCTACGGGCATGTGTGAAGTATTTAACTGTATACTTCGCCAAAAGAGCAATCTCTCGCAATCGCTCTCAACTCTAAATTACTCCACATGTAATTCCTCGTGCGTTAGTGCGACGGTAACGGTGTAATACATACAAAGGCTGCGTTGTTGATCAGAAACATCCGGCATATTGTTCAGGCACATACCCATTTTCACAACCTCGTTATGGTTCCGGTTAATGCAAATGGTCTTGTCACACGGAGGAAGTGCATTACCACTCCAACAATTCAAATTCATCCGATTGGCCAACTGATCACAAATGAGTTATCCGGTTTGCACATATTCGTTTCACCATACATGCAGAGACGCGTCGCCCAACGCCGCTTCATTCAACAGTATAAAACATTGATGTCAAAAGAGTGGCAGTAACACTCCAGCCTGTTCATCCGTAGTCAGCGCTACAATCTTCTGGAATATTGTCGCCCCCGCAAGCCAAGCAGAATCCGCCAACTCATGAAGAAATCGGATCCGTATGCAGTCACTCAGCAGGTGGTGAGGTAAATTATAGAGGAAGATATCAACTACCCAAGTAACTAGGAGCCCAACTATAGGTCACCTGGTCAGTCATGACAACATGAGCAACGGATTTTGTTATTTGAAACTATAAGGTGCCAAACTTTCTTTAAAAGCAGAGAAGGAAATGAGGGCGATATAAACTAGCGTACTTCCCGCATCATTAAAATCATCATCAGCTGTAAGAACCGCGAACTTGCCGTAAAATGATTTTATCTGCCACAGTTCACAGATGGTTTGGAAAGATGGAAAAGATAGCTGAACACTGGAGGCGGCAGCTGACCTAACCGAGCTGTAAACCGACTGTTGTCAGTGGATCTTTCAATGGGGAGACTGGAGGGGAGGAATGTACTGAAGGCAATAGGATGACGCAGAAGAGCCATTGAGGGCACGACTGGGCCGTCTTACAATGTCTCCAATCATTGATGTGTCCAGCCTCGGGGTCCCCATCCAAGGGGTTGGAAATGACCAGAGCACCTGAGTTCGCTGGAAATGGCCTTTATAGTTCGCTGTCAAGTCAGCGTTTAACCTGTCTGGCTCGTTTACATCCTTCGCGTGGATGTGAGCAAAAAGCCCTTCGAGGAAGTGGGTCGACTAGCATACGGAGCACGTGGCCAAGCCAGCGCAACCTATGCAGTGTGTGAGTTATTTTTTCCGAATACCATTCGATGTACTTCGGCATTGCTTATCCGGTGTTCCCACCAGATTCGGACAATGCTCCGAAGACATCGATGGTCAAACACTGAAAGTCTTTTGACGTCTGTCCAGCCTCGGGGTCCCCATCCAAGGGGTTGGAAATGACCAGAGCACCTGAGTTCGCTGGAAATGGCCTTTATAGTTCGCTGTCAAGTCAGCGTTTAACCTGTCTGGCTCGTTTACATCCTTTGCGTGGATGTGAGCAAAAGGCCCTTCGAGGAAGTGGGTCGACTAGCATACGGACCACCTGACCAAGCCAGTGAAACCCATGGAGTGTTATCAGATCATCTATCGTGTGCGAGTTATTTGCTCCATAAAACATTCAGCATACTTCATCATTGCTGACCCGATATTCCACCGGACTCAGACAATTTGATTTGGTTTGCCAGCTGCTTGCTTTGGTTTGCCAGCTGCTTTGGTCGCGTTCTAAGCGGCGGTACGTAGTTGTATCGTTAAGTAGTGCCTTTGCTTTATTGATGTAGTCCGGTTTGTCTGTCATCACCGTTAGGCGTCCCTTGTCTGCCGGTAGAATCACGATGTTTTTATCCTTCTTCAACTTGTTCATTGCTTCTTTTTCTTTGCCGGAAAGCACGTTGAGTGGTTTGTTGCGTGTGATGGCTGGGACGACAGTTTGACG